AATTATATTTCCCTGGTTTGTGAAACTATAATTTCATCAATATGGGCACTGCTTCCACCAGGGCTGATTGAAAGCCAACTATACCACAATATATACAAATGATAAATGCATAAGAGAGAAGCAAAGTGCTATGTGAGGACCCTAGAGGGACAATCATTTCTGACTGTGGCAGTCAGGGAAGACTTCATTGAGCAAGCATTGTGTTCTAAAGGTTTAGTAAGAATTCAACAGGAATAGAGGAAAGCATTTGAGGCATATGGAACAGAAAGTGCAGGTCATATACAGAGGATGGAAAATAGTCCAATCTGACATGGCTAATATGGGAATTTGCCTTGCTGGATTATGCGTGCTTGTGGCAAAGATTTTTGTCAAAGTTTTATTCATTTGTTGTTCAATGGGGCAGGGAAAGTGGAAGGCAGAGATAGTAAATGCTTGTAAAAATTTAAAAATGAACAGTAATCCAAATTGGCTAGAGCATAGAATGTCTTCAAGGATATAGTATCAAAGAAAGGTAGATAGGTATGGTAATGCCAGATTGTGCAGGTTTTTAAATGCCAGACTAAGGAGTCTGAAATTTACTTGGTAGGCAATAAGAAGCCATTGAAAAGTCTTGATTACAGGAATAATATGATATGAGGAAGAGGAGTCTGATAACAGTATGGACAATGGACTGCAGGGGAGAGAGAGTGGAGGTGGGAAGAACTGTTAGCAGAGTATTACATCAGTCTAATTGGGAGATTAGAAAGGAGGGAATAAATGCTAAAATATATCAAGGAGGTCAAATTGACAGGATATAGTAAGTGCTTTGGGAGGAAGAAGGAAGTATCAAAGAGAATCAATCAATTAATCAATTAACAAGTATTTATTAAGTTGCAATGTGCCAGGAGCTATGCTAAGAGGGCTAGGGACAACAAAGGAAAAGAGTAAAAAGTCAAAGGAGTTTAGAGTTTAATGGAAGAATACCAAGATTTCAAATATGGAAGACTAAGTAAATGGTTGAGCCATTGACAAAAATCATGAAGTCAGAAAAAGAATTGGATTTTGGTAGGAAGATAATTCAGATTCACATTCCAAAAACATATTTAATTTTAATACAAGAAAGTTCTAGCCAACATATTTTTGCCAGAGTTAAGTTTTTAAATGTAGAATTTTATTCCAGTTTATATAAGTTCCATGCATAGCTTACGTAAATTCTAGGTAACCATCACTCATTTGATATGGTGCTAGATGTGGAATCAAGAATCAGTCAATCAAGTGCTAGTCTTTGAGAATACAAGCAAAAAGAATGAAATAATCTCATAATGAGTTGTATGCTACTGGGAGAGACAAGTACATACAAAAATAAATTCAGGATTTAAGTCAAATTGATAAATACATACATATGTACGTATACAAGACAGTTTGAAAGGGAGGAAACTAGCAGGTGAAGGAAAGGCTTCATGGTGCAACATATTGAAGGATGGGAGGGATTCTGCAAGGAGGAGGTACACATGTGGTGTATTCCATGCATGGGGGACATACAGAGCAAAGTCAGGGGATGGAGTTTCATGAGTGAAAAACAGAAGGCTGGCTCAGCTGCTTCACAGTGTGGGAAGGGGACTAATGTCTAGTGAAATTAGGAAAAGAGGCTCATGTTTGTGTAGGACTTTAAAAGTTAAGCCACTGGAGCTCATAGAGAGGGGAATCACATGGTCAGGTCTGTACTTAAAGAAAATTACTTAGGGCAGCTAGGTGGCACAGTGGATAGAGCACCAGCCCTGAAGTCAGGAGGACCTGAGTTCAAATCCGGCCTCAGACCAAACACTTGACACTTACTAGCTGTGTGACCCTGGGCAAGTCACTTAACCGCAATTGCCTAAAAAAAAATTTACTTGAGCAGAAGTGTGGAGGATGGGCTGGAATAGGGAGAGACTTGAGTCAGGGAGACCTGCCACAGAAGAACTGAGTTCAAATATTACCTCTGACACTTTCTAGCTTTATGACCACATACTTAGGTTCACTGAACAACAGCCTAAAATTTATCTTCTAAGGTATGGATAAGTTGCAAACTGCTTTGAAATGACACATCAGGATGCACATAAATGCCATATGCTAATGTCTCAAAGACTCACATGTCCGAGAGTTCCCTGGCCTTCCAAAATAATCATTGCCCTTTTTTTATAGCATTTTCTTAAAAGCCAAACTTTTTGAATTGTGAAACTAAATGAATCAATGTAACCTTTTAGCTATGATTCAGAACTACAGACCAATGCATTTTGAGTATGTTTTAATTTCATACCTTCTTTAAAAAATTTGTATTTACTATTAACATTCTTTTCTTTTTAAATTTTGAGTTCCAAATTCTCTCCCTCCCTCTCACCCTCTCCTCCAATCACTGAGAAGGCAAACAATATGATATCAAGTATACATGTGAAATCATGTAAAACATTCCCATATTACTCATAATTTTTAAAAGGCAAGAAAAATTAAAGTGAGAAAATTATACTTCAATTTGCACCCAGAGTTTATCAGTTCTTTCTCTGAAAGCAGATAGCATTTTTTCATAATGAGTCCTTTGAAATTGTCTTGGATCATTGTATTGATCAGAGCAGCTAAGTCTTTCATATTTGATCATGATTACAATTTTGCTATTAGTGAGCATAATGATCTTCTGGTTCATCTCACTACACTTTGCATCAGTTTATATAGGTCTTGCCATGTTTTTCCAAAACCACTCCCCTTGTCATTTCCCACAGCACAATAGCACTCCATCACAATTATGCGCCACAACTTTTTTAGCCGTTCACCAATTGATGGGCATCCCCTCAATTTCCAATTCTTTGCTGCCACAAAAAGAGCTGCCATAAATATTTTTTTACCTATGTGTTCTTTTATTTTTTCTTTGATTTCTTAAGACTATAGATCCATTAGTGATATTGCTGCATCAAAAGGTATGCACAATTTTATAGCCCTTTGAGCATAGTTACAGACCGTTCTCCAGAACAGTTGGACCAGTTCACTATTCCACTGACAGTTGTTAGTATGCCTATTTTTCCTTCATCTCCTCCACATTTGTCATTTTTGGTAGGTGTGAGGTGGTACCTCAGAGTTGTTCTAACTCGCCTTTCTCTAATCAGTAGTGATTTAAAGCATTTTTTTTCATATACTTATAGACAGCTTTGATTTTTTCTTCTGAAAGCCGTCTTTGTCTTTTGACCATTTATCAATTGGGGAATGGCTCTTATTTTTATAAATTTGACTCAGTTCTACACTCAGTACATATTTGAGAAATGAGACCTTTATCAGAGAAAGTTGCTGTAGAAATTTTGTTTTATATTACTTCATTGTTTATGGTACATTTTAGCAAAATGCAGCTTACCTGATTATCCCTTTTAATTAGGTCCATTTTTGTTTTTGCTTTGTCTAAGATCATGATCACTACCACTGTGTTTTGGTTTGTTCATCTGTTTCTCTATGTCTCATGGAATCATTAGCTTCCATTTATCAAATTCTAATTTTTTTGAAATTATTTCCTTCAGTGAAATTTTGTACTTATTTTTCCATTTGGCCTATTCTGCTTTTTAAGGAGTTCTTTTCAATGAATTTCTCTGACTCTTTTACCATTAGGTCAATTCTGTCTTTTAAGGTGCTATTTTCTTCAGTATTTTCTATTAATTCTCTTTTCATAATATTTTTGGGGGGGTAGGCAATGGGGTTAAGCAACTTTCCCAAGGTCACATAGCTAGTAAGTGCTATGTGTCTGAGGCCTGATTTGAACTCAGGTCCTCCTGAATCCAGGGCTAATGCTCTATCTACTGCACCACCTAGCTGCCTCCCATAATTTTCTTATATCACATTCATTTCTTTTCCCAATTTTTCCTCTACCATTCCTGTCTTTTTCTATATAACTCTTCCAAGAATTCTGGTTGCTCTTGGGTCCAATTAACATTTTTCTCTGAGGCTTTTTTTTTTGTAGCTATTTTCACATTGCTATCTTCTTTTGATTTTATGTCTTGGTCTCTGCTACCATAATAGATTTTATGGTTGAATTCCTTTTTTGTTTGTTTTTTGCTCATTTCCCCATATTATTTCTTGACTTTCAACTTCATGTTCAAGTTGGACTCTCTTCACTTGGGGGTGGAGAGGCACTGGTCCCAGGCACTTCAGGCTTTTTCCTGCTGCTGTTTTCAGAGCTAGTTCTGGGGGTTTGTGACTTTTTGATGCTTCCAAAGTGGTGTGATCTTAGGAGAAGTATGGTCACTGCCCTCCTGGTCTGTACTCTGGTCTTTACCTAGGAAGGGCCCCTGGTCCCCTGCAGCCACAAGCACTAGCACTCTCTTTGCCTTGGAAATGTGATCAAGATCCTTGCTCCCTTGTGATCAAACATCAGCACTCCTCTCTGCCCTGGGACTGTGACCTCAGAACTGAATATGGGCAATAGAATTGACAATCGGTACCAGCTGTGCCCAGTGCCAGCTGACCAGTTGTCTAGCCTTCTTATTACCTCTGGACTGAAAGCTCCCAAAATTGCTGCTGTGGTGGCCACTGTTCCTGCCATTTTGTATGTGGGTTCCAGATAGCCTCCCACTCCACTGTCACAAACTTCTCCTGCCAACCTTCTAAGTTTTCTTAGGCCAGGAAAATGTCTCAGCCTGACCTTTTATTGGCTCTGCTGATCCAAAACTTGATTTAAAGGATAATTTTAAAGTTATTTGGAAGGAAACGTTGAAAAAGTCCAGCTGGGTAGCCTCTAATCTGCCATCTTGGCCAATTTAATACCTGATAATCCTATTCTTGATTACCAGGATTGTTTGACTTCTGCCTACTATCAAAGAGAATGTTTAAAGTCAATGACATTTTCAGAAATAGAAAATGCTGAGAGCACTGTTAGTGAATGGTAGATTTTCAATGATGATGTGATTTTGTCATTTGCTTGCCCTACTTTATCATGACATGACCTTGTAGGAAAGGAGTTTCTGGAGTTCCAAACCTAACACATTTTCTCTGTCCTCCTTCTCCAGTCGGGACCTGACATGGAGAGACATGCAACACCTGACTGTGCTCACCTCCAAAAGGAACCAACTTCACGATGAGGTTCATCAGTGGCGGAGAAATGGGGTTGGCCTGGAGTTCAACCATTTGTTTGGCTATGGGGTCCTCGATGCAGGAGCAATGGTGAAAATGGCTAAAGACTGGAAGACAGTCCCCGAGAGATTCCACTGTGTCGGAGGTTCAGTACAAGAGCCTGAGTGAGTGAGGGCGAATGTTTGTTCACTTCCATCGCTGGTGGTGAGCTACCTTCTATAGCAGAGATGTCAAATTCATGTATAAATAGAGGCCACTAATCCATAGTTATGGATCCCTGCTAGCACATATTGGCTTAGAAAACCAAATATTAACATTATCTATATTCTGTTGGATTTTTATTTTGTTAAATATTTCCCAACTTGTCTTTGGTATCCTGTCACCTCCCATTTCAGACTCCAGTTTACCAGAATTCCTCTTACAGTCAGCCCTTACCAGTCACTCAGTCAGCTAGTATTTATTAAGCACCTACTGTGTACCAGGCACTGTGCTAAGCACTGGGGATACAGTAACCTGCCCACAGTCACACAGTAAGAGTAAAAGCAATCTGATTTTGTCAGCCTAAGGACAAATCTTTGTGTCATCCCTGAAGGAAGATAATAATCATGATAGCCAGCATTTATATAGCACTTCAAGGCATACCAAGCACTTTACAAATATTATCTCATTTTGTCCTCACAACAGCCCTGGGAAGAAGGTGCTATTATTAGATGCATTTAGAAGTTAAATGACTTACCCAGGGTCACACAGCTAATAAGTATTTGAGGTCAGATTTGAACTCAGGTCTTCTTGACTCCAGGTCTAGTGCTCTAATCCCCTACACCACCAGCTGCCTCTGGAAGCCTGAAGAAACATATTCCATTTTTGATATGATAACCATGTCATTTTTGTATCAGTCTCTCAGCTCATTGATTTTATAAATGGGCTTCCAGTGTGTATCCACAGAAGATAACTACTCTAATCATATTTTGTAGACAGAAAAGAGATTTTCTTAGCTTGTGTTTTGGCTTGTGTTTTGAAACCTTTCTTTTCATAGTAGTTATTCCATTAGGCAGAGTAATTAGTGATGCATTACAGTCCCCATAATTTATCCCCAGATGAACAGTATTACTCATAGCAAGAACACAGCTTCAGGCTATCCTGCCTCATGCGTCATTGTCCTCATTAAGCTGTTCAGGCTAGCCCTGCTCAGATATCTGGGAAGGGCATGAAGCTCATTACAGGCTGAAGAGTTGAGGCTTCTCTGGCCAGACTTAGCATGACCATAATAATTTCCCCTCACTATTTTGCATATCTCTGAAGCACTGCTCCTTTGGGAAGCACAGAGAATTGGGAAGTACCCAGAGAAAAACAATCCGTTCTTTGTACTTCCCAACTTGAGAGACGTCGTGAATTGGAAGAGTGTTGGACCAACACTCATAAAGCCTGGATACGAGTCCTAACTCAACCACTGGGTGTTTTTAGAGTAAGTTGTTCCACCTCTGTGGACCTCAGTTTCCACATCTGTAATATGGAGTTTATAGTTTTGTTGTTTAGTCGTTTTTCACTTGTATTCAACTCTTCGGGACCCCATTTACGGTTTTCTTGGCAAAGATACTGGAGTGTTTTGTCATTTCCTTCTTAGCTCATTTTACTAATGAAGAACTGAGGCAAACAGGGTTAAGTGACTTGCCAAGTTAAGTGTCTGAGGCTGGGTTTGAGCTCACTGACGTGAGTCTTCCTGACTCCATGCCCAGCACTTTATCCACTGCAACACCAAGCTGCCCCAGAATTTATACTACTTAACACTCATTATCTCATAGGTTCTTTGGGAGGACCACCTAAAGGGTCAGTTTTTAGAGCCATTCTAAAATTCTCCAACCTGTATATTTCATTTTCTGTTGAAGAAATCCACAAGAGAAAGCAAACCAAGATTATTTGAATCCTTAAGAGTATCTGAGTTCATCCACTTCTCCTTGGACCATTACCTGAATTCAAGGCCACCAGTTGCCCCACCTATTTGGAGATTATCATCTTTCACCCAAGCATATTTTTAGGCTTTGCAGACTGCCTGGTTGATGGCGAACAGGGGCTGCTACAGTTTCCTTGGTACTTTGTTCCAAAGGCCTCCATAGAACTCACCCCCTCACTTCCAGTGAGCCAGGAGCAGGAAATAACCCAGAAAAGGGCCAGATGTGGGAGCTGCTAGATAGATGCTGGTATGGCAGATCACCATGAATAGCCTAAAAGGAACCCTCTCTTCTTGTTAGTGAACTTCCTTCCCGCTGACACCCTGCCTAAGGCCACTCCCTTATGCAACATGATGCTCAGATTGGCTATCACCCAAAGTAGCTTGAAAACTGGCACAGTGGGAATTACTTCATAAACTTTGGTGCTTTTATTTATTTTTTTTGCACATCCTTTGGATTGACCCCATTTTCAATATGAGAAAGTTGAAGCAACCTGAGGTTGCTGCCCAAGAGAATTGGATAACTGAACCCTAATTGAAAGTAGCTGTCCCAGAACAAGCTGTTTGGATATCCAGACCTCTGGGCCTCCAGGAATCTGAGTCCATGCTGGATTTTACAGCCAGCTCAGCTATCTCCTCATTGTCCTGAGGAGCAAGTACATTATTAGAGACCTAGCCTGTCAACAGTCAAAATAAGAACTCATCAGACTGGGATGCCACATTTGAACTTAAACCTGATAGACAAAGGCTATATAGAAATAGTGATAAAGAATAAATCAGCTCTCCTCAGAGTGGCAGCTAGGTGGCACAGTGGAGAGAGCACCAGGAAGACCAGAGTTCAAATCCAGCCTCAGCACTTACTAGCTGTGTAACTCTGAGCAAGCCATTTAACCTCTGTCTGCCTCAGTTTCTTCAGCTATAAAATGGAGATAATAATAACACCTACCTCCCAGGTTGTGAGGATTAAATGAGATAATATTTGTAAAACATTTAACACAGTACCTGGTATATAGTAGGTGCTTTAATAAATGCTTGTTCCCTTCCCTTATCAGAGACTGAGGTCACAGTATAGGAGAGACTCTTCTTCCAAGGTATTGGTTCTTATTATATTTTCTTAATATATTATATTATATATCTTTGGTTCTTATTATATTTTCAAAGCAAATATCTCTTTATAAAGGCTTCTGAAAAATTATGTGTCCTGAATTTTCCTGAATATTTTAAGTGGATTCAATGAGTACCTAATGTGTGCAGAACATGCACCCAGGAGTAGGGAACCTGAGGCCTCAAGGCCACATGTGGCCCTCTAGGTCCTCAAGTGCAGCCCTTTGACTGAAACCAAACTTCACAAAACTTTCTTTTGAATTTTTGATTCAGTGAAAGGCCACACTTGAGGACCTAGAGGGCCACATGTGGCCTTGAGTATGCAGATTCCCCACCCCTGCACTAGACAATATGAGAAATACAGAGTTTAGATAAGACATGTCCCTTGCCTTCATGGAGCCCACTTTGCCTATTTTCTGAGGTCATCTCTTTGCAGGCAAATAATGAGCATTTCATGGAAAGGCAGCATGGTCTAATTGATAGAACATAGGCCTTTGGAGTCAGAAGATTTTAGTTTAAGTCTTCTGGTCCTGTCATTTACTAACTGTGACTTCAACTTCTCCTTCAGCCTTGGTTTTTGGACTGAAGTTGGACCTGATCACCTCTGAGTCCCCTGATCACTATGAAATCCAATGAATCTCTAACATCAAGACTTGCACCCACGTACCACTATTTGCATTGGGCTTGATGGTTTATAAATCATTTTCACATATATTGTCTCACTTATTCCTTGCAATAACATTGTGAGATAGGGGAGATATTATCATCTCTATTTTACAGATGAGGAAAGTGAGGCTCAGAAGGATGATGGGACTTGGCCAAAGCAAATGAATACTGAAATCAAAGCTAGAACACGTCTTCTGTCTCCAAGTCCAGTGCTATACCACTGAGTCCTGAGAAATAACATTTTTTAAAATATTCAGAGCATCTTCGATCTGGTCAGTACCAGGGATCTCAGAGGCCGTCTACTCCAACCCCCTTACTTTGCTGATGAGAATATCAAGGCCCAGAGAAGTGAAATAACTTGCCCAGGTTATTCAGGTAGTAAACCCCAGAGATAGTACTTGAGCCTAGCTCTGCCAAAGCTAGTCCTTCTCCCACTAGATGCAGATGAGCTACATAAGCAGTAGCTGGTACTGGCTCATGAGAGTCAATTACTAAATTTTCATTCTGACCATTTACACTTAGCATATCAGCAAAGACCACATATTAAGGCTTGGTTTATTGTTTGTTGGTTTTTAGACTTTTTAAAATGAAGAAGAAAATGTTAATAATGCCAATGAAACTTAAAGGTGTGTCCTGATTTTTTTTTTTTGGAGAGCCAGTTATTAAACATTGACCAGCACACACAGCTGTAGAGGGCAGAGCTGTCAAGTGCTTCTGTCAAGAGTGAACAGCCCCATACTGAAGGATGACAGATTGCTATGCTGACCTGGTATCTCTGAGCATTCTTGCCACATACTCTATAATCTTGAAAAAACAATGGCAAGGGAGTATATTGACAGTTAAAGGCAGGCATTTCAAAAGCCAAATGATATTTAGTTTATCATATTATCCATCTGAAAATCGTGGGCTCCCAAATGGAGACTGATGGGTAAAATGAACTCATTTCTTTGAAACCATAGCCCATAGTAGAGATACAACTAGCTTAAGGCACTATAGCTTTGCCTCAGTGAGTGGAATTTAGAAGACAAAGGCAGAGAGGTACAGGACAGAGGAGGGCCATACCCTAAGTTGCTATAGAAATAGCAAAACACAGCCTACTCATTCTCTACCTCCATTCAAAAACGAAATCCCAATCTTCCCCACCCCTGTCCCATTTCTCTCCCAGATCTTCCTCTTTGGTCCATCCTTTGCAAGCAGGCCAGCCTCTACTCTACAAACAGGCCAGCTTCTCCCCAGAAGGGCAATAAACCTACTACTTCCTTTCCTCCCCTCAGCACTTTGTAGGTGGGAGTTTTGTCAAGTCCTCTCTATTGAAGCAGAAAAAAAATGTAGGACCCCAAAATCTAATCCAGCCTGGACTAGATGACCCCCAAGCTCTGAGGGTCTCTCTTGCCAAGCAACTTGAATAATCAATTCTCCCAATTGTCTTAATGATGTCTTGTATTATTTGCAAAATAAGAATCATAAAGTACCATTTGCCCGTGTAGCAGTGGCCCCAGGTGCTAAAATGCTAGTTAAGGTTTTGACTGAGAATAACCTAATTTTTTTTTATTTTAATTTTTTATCATTTCAGCTTTTGCTGTGTACTATTTAGCATTCTTGCAAGAAGCATGTGTCAGCAGGAGGGGTCCAAATGGGCTTAGGCTCATGGCCTAATGGGGCATATTTAAAGGTCCTAAATTCATAGTGATTATGTTCTTGGAAATACAGTGATGAAACATATGAATGGTTCATGATTGTGCCCCCAGTTAGAAAGAGAAAACTCTATAACAATGCAATAGGAAAGGGGAGGGGCCAGAGATTGGGATTCCAGGCCTGATCCAGATATGATCACTTTCCCATGTGACTTCCAGAGCTGTCTAGCATCCTCATGGGAGCAAAGGGCTGTGGAGAGATGTAAAGAACAGGGCCAGCCATTCGCATTTTTGAGAAATAAGAATAGATCCGCCAGATTCAGTCTTTGACAAAACACAAAGACATGCTTAGAAACAAGTGCTAGTCACACCCAGATGAAATAAGGCAAGGAAAAAGAGATAAGGACCATCCATTCTTTTGTGTGTGTGCACATGCACGTGTGTTTCTTTCAGTGCTCCCAGCAATCTGAGCAAATATCCATGATTAAGTGTACACACACACATACACACACACACACACACACACACACACACACACAGAGTATTATACCTCGACATGACCTTTTTTTTTTACCTTTCCCCTTTCAAAGTCTTTGGAGGCTTGGGTTTGAGGAGAGGAACTACAGATGTCACCTAATGACTGCCATGGATTGTACTACTAGAGGAAAGGAAACCCCACCACCTCCCTTCTCTCCATGTTTCCTTCTTCTCTCCTGCTCCAACCAAAACCCCCATCCTCCAGTCCTATTCTTCCATTAGCTTCCTCTCTTACCAAGCTGAGCAGAAATACAACTCCCCAGGGTCTTTAGTGCCTTACACACTATTGCAAGCCACTCAGTCCATGCCTTGCCAGAAGGACTGTTAACACCCAAATTCCCAAGTCATTTCTCCAGTGTTGGAATCCCTCCCTTTTAATGTGTAACTCCTTGGATCTGGAATTCTTTGAAAGGCTATAGCCTATTTAGCCTTCTGTTTCTACCCTCCTTATAACGTTCTCAATTAGTGACAAAGCCTGAGGTTTCAAAAAATAAAAATACCTATGTAAATAGTGCAGTGGATAGAATGCTGAGCTTGGAGTCAGGATTAGTAGTAGTAGCATTTGTGGTAGTATTAATTGCAACATTTTCACATACCATATGGCTAATTACTATTCATTATTCACATAATTCAGATGCCAGATTAACTTTGTTTTGTATTTAAGTAATGGCAACACTAAGCTGTTCATATACGTCTTCTCTTGCTCACAGCATGGTCTCTTGCAACTTTCAAAAAAAAGAAAATAGAGGGAATGTTGCTGTCAGACACAGACCTAAGAAAGCAGTAAGGTCAAGCAATGTAGCAAGCAAGAGAATAAAATCAAGTATGTGAATCACTAGGTTCAGAAAAATATGCTCCAAATTGAATGAGAGTAATAGAAGCCTTGAATGATATAAAGAGATTTACCAATTAATCTAAGGGCAATGAAGAGATGGAAAATAAATGTGTTTTCTTCCAAATGGATGAACTGTTTGGACCCTACAGCTTTCAGAATATTCAGTATCACAAATGAATGGGATGAATGCAAGTTAAGTAACTGAAATGATTTTTAATCAAATTCGTGGCTTATCCCATTACTGTGACCTAGAATGTGCACTAGGAATCCTTAGATCAGAAATGAGCTAGGAAATGGTTAGAATGATCCAAAGGTAGTAAAAGTGAAAAGAACATGACCCAAAGGCAAGAGAGACAAGGGCTTAAATTCTACATCTGACATTTGCTATGGATAAATCACTTAATCTCTCTGAACCTCAGTTTCCCCATATGTAAAATGATGCAAAATAAGAGAAATAACACCTGCAATGCCTACTTCATAAAGTTGTCCTGAGTAACAAAGGAGTTAATGTTTGTAAAACCCCCTAAAGAGCTATGTAAAGATCAATTATTATTAAATGGTTTCTTAGAATAAAAGTACCCTTTGAGTGGTTTCTGTCTATCCAACCAATGATAGCTAAGCCTAGTGCTTTTAGAATTGCATGACCTTTCAGAAAAGTCATTTGAAAAGAAATAATTCATGAGGATTACCTTCTTGATTTTTTCCTCATATCTGCCCAATATTATATTTCATTAATATATTTGCATATATTTATCTATTGTGTTTATGTGTGTTATATAAAAATATATATTACATGTATAAATATGTATATACGTTTAATATATTTCATTGTCATTTTCACTCTCAGGAAAATACCGTCCAACAACAAGTTGGTTCTGACGCTCACAACTGATGCTTGCGAGGGAAAGGAAAACTTTGTGCGCTACCTTGAACATGTCCAAGCTGTCATCACAGTGAATGCAACAAGGAGAGGAGACTTGAACATCAACATGACCTCCCCAATGGGCACCAAATCCATTTTGCTGAGCCGGCGCCCAAGAGATGATGACTCTAAGGTGGGTTTTGACAAATGGCCATTCATGACCACTCACACTTGGGGGGAAGATGCCAGAGGGACATGGATTCTGGAAATTGGGTTTGTTGGGAGTACGCCACAGAAGGGAGTGCTGAAGGAATGGACATTGATGCTGCATGGAACACAAAGTGCCCCCTACATAGACCAAGTAGTGAAAGATTACCAGTCCAAGCTGGCGATGTCCAAGAAGGAAGAACTGGAGGAAGAATTAGACGAAGCTGTGGAGAGAAGTCTTAAGAGCATACTGAGCAAAAACTAATGCTGCATGTCTGGTTTTGCCTTCACTCCTTCCTTTCCTCTGAGCATCTTTCTAATCATAATCCTTCTGTTAGACCTGTAGCAAATACTGTCACTGCCCAAAAATCACATTCCCTTGATTTTATTTCATACATTCTGTCAATGATCATTTTCCTTACAATGGAAGCGCTCTTTTTTTTTTAAACTCTAGGACTCAAATACATTGTTCCCTACCAACTCCTGTGTACAGTTTGTGACTATGAATTATCTTCTGTGTCCTTCAAATAGGTGATATCTTGCAAACAAAACTGTGACGGCTTTTCTCTTCATATTTTCTGTGGCAAACATTGTTTATATAAGAAGAGAAAGGAGTAAATTTGAAAGCCAACATTTTATGGCATTGAGGATATTTTTCTGTGGTCTCAATGGAGGCGGTAGCTCTTGAAAGAAAAAAAATTTAACATGGTTAGAGAGTGATGTTTGCATCTCTAAAATCAAAGGAGATGCTGTTCGTGAGTTCTTTGAAGAGACTCAATTATTTAGATTAGTCTCTTACATGGATGAAGCTGGTGTGGTTTAGAGGTGCCATTCGGAGAAGGGCATTCTAAAAAGGGGTGAGAAGATTCAAGAAGCACAAGAGGGGGTGGGGGAACATAGGGAGAGGGGAGGAGGGAGGGTTCAATCATCAGCACCAAGGTTACTATAGTCTAACCAATCAGCACGGTGAATTGGGAACAGCTTCTGGGCTGTTTTGTCACCAGCTATCACTCTTAGTTACAGAGACTCCTGAAGCTTGCTAAAGCAGCACAAATTATCCCCATTTTGTATGATGTTCACCTACCCCTGTTTTCTGGGGTTAATACCATGGCTGTCAACAATTTACAGTTAGTGAAGGTGGCAGGCAAGATTACAGTTGACATCCAATTTTAGAAAATGCTGCAAAAGCCTCTTTTTTAAAAAAAAATAAAGATCGGGTCACTTTAAGGTGGGGAGGGTGGGGAGGGAGAGGAAGGGGGGAAAGCATTTGTTGGGATTGCAATAACATACTTTGGTTTCCTTATTTCCAAAAGACTGAAAAGGCAAGAATGTTTGGTGGGATCTCTCTGGTTTATCTAAAACATCCTATTGAAACACACGTGAACTGTGGATGCAATGTGGCTTCTTTGGAGATATTGGTTTGCACCATTATCCCTGAACTGATCCTCTTTTCCAAACCCCTCAAAAGGGCTGAAAAGAAGGCTCGGAGCTTTGAAGAAAAGATCATCATGGATCCAAATAAACGTATATGCAAAGCGCCTAAATACCATCTTGGTAGCCAGATCATAATTAAGTAGACTCATATTCATTGGCCTGAAGCAACATATTTAAAATAAAATTCAAAGGTTATAAGATTCATACCATCCAATTCAGAAAAATCATCATCATTTTATTCTCAAATAGTCATTTCTTCTAAGTTTCTTTCCATCAATTTTTCTTTGCAAAGCTCTTGTTCCCATCAACTTCTCTATTTACTCCCAAGTAGTTCATATTAATGTTTCCTTTTCTCTTGGACACTTCTCTCTCTTCCCCTATTAGAAGGTCTTCAGTTCAGTTTGATCTACCCAATATTTATTAAGGGCCAACTTTGTACAAAGCATTGTTCTAGATACTTTAAGAGTTATATATAGATGAGTATAAGAATCCCACCTGGTACTCATAGAGTCATCCACCTTTCTGGGTGATCAAATACAGTCCAGTCTCGTAAGTATTATAAAGTGATGATGTAAATAACAAGCTAGGGTGTGGTAAATGGTGTTGAACATCAAAGGAACAAGATCCTAACCACCTGGGCAAATCAGAGAAGGCTTTTGGAAGGAGTGTAGCATCTGAATTCAGCCTTGAAGAATAGCCTTCAAGTTCTTAACAGGTAGAGATGGAAGAAGGTGAAGGGTAGAGGAAAGGACATGGCAAAAGTGTAGAAATAAGAAAGTATGTTAAGGGAATAGTAAGATCTTTCTGAGTCTTGGATTCTCGTGCCTAAAAGGCCACATGTCCCAAGAAAATGAGGTCTCCTCATTTGATCACCTTGAAAGGTGGTGACTTAGACAGGAAGGGTTTGGAAAGTCCAAGTCAAGAGTAATTCACATTCCATTCACAATTCATTGTCATTTTCTCTTTTTTTCCCAAGTTGGCATGAGCTGAAAATAGTCCATTTTAATTTTACACCATCTACCTTTATGTTAGTGTGCTTGGGGACCTTTATCAGATATGAGTTTGAGGTTTTGTTTTGTTTTTTTACCACCTGTTTCATATGCTTTTTTTAAAAAAAATAGTTAAGGTTAAAATAGCAAATGCTAACAGTCAAATACATTTCATAGTGATGGTCTGAAAAATAAACCAAAGGATAACATGTGTGCATGCCTGTCTGAGCACACACAGAAATGTATACATATGTAAGATATACACGTATATACATAAATACACTTGTATATATGTATATACACACATAGAACTAACATGTGTGTATGTGTATTTACTAAAGAAACAGAGTTCATACTCATCCACAAAAGGAATTTTCAAAAATATCAAAAAGATTGTAAGTGGGTCAGAGTTTAGATGAAAGCATACATTGATCTGCATTGCATCCTGTAATTTTGCAAATCTCTGTATAAACATTAAATGTCATATAGCAGCAAAATTATAAAATGGCTATTCATATTTTCACAACTGTGGCATTAACAATGAACATAATTAGCTTCTTAACAGAAATTGTAAGGTTTGATATGAGATACAATATATAAATTATATATATTACATATATATAGCATTATATAAATATATATAAATCCTTGGTTCTCTACTCCATTTTTCACACCAGTAATAACTGAAAAGCATCCAATTAGTGCAAGTTTTTATGATAGCCCTGCTGCAAGATAAAGTTAATTTATAGTCATTTATAAAAAATAAAAATGAACATAAGCAAATGATGATTTAACACAGGTTGACTTTGTTTAAATATCAATCCTTGTGATGATGTTTTATAAGTAAAATGAAGAAATTATGTTGTAAATTAGGAGGCTCAATAAAAAAAAATTACCTACCAGAAATTATGTGGGGTGTGCTATATATTCAGAAGACCTATTTCTTATCAATCTACAGGCAATATTTCTAACCCTAATAACAAAATAACAGAAGTAATTTTATCCTGGTTACACTAGACATTGGTCATAAATGGGACACTCGGGGGGAAAAATTCCCTGATTAAATACTACAGTAAAACCTCACTATTTGAACAAATTTGCATTGAAATCAATCAATTACGGGACAATCTGAATTGCAGAAAAATTTCCCCCAAAGTCCTGTTTTATTCTTTTCAGTTACATGTAGTGGCTACAGTAAGGCAACAAATGTTGCCCAAGAAGGGTCTTTAGAGGATCTGCTTTAATAGATAAATTTAATGATAACAGTAAAACTCTCAGTCTCAATGAAATTAATGCTTCCAGAAAGTTTGGACATCCTCCCCAACCACCTAGGATCTTTTTAAACTAGTAATTTGTTCAGTAAACCTTTCTTTAAGAAAATTAAAATGTATACTTCATCCCTTTTTAAGTTATTACAATGCTGAAATCAACCTCACCCAATCCTTTTGCAAATTGTTACAAATTTTGGATTTGTAATGTCTGAATTGATAATCTCTGTCTATCCAGAGAAAGTGCTTAGATACTCAGAGTTTCATATGATAGAAATCTCTGGGTTTCAAACAATGCAGACCATGTGATATGTGTCAACAGGAGGTCCCAGTGTTTGGCATACCTTTTTCATTTTCATTGCAGACTTATGGGAAGAAATGAACCCAGGTTAGAAAAGATGATGGTTTTTCTTTGAAGAGCTCTGTTTGATATTTCTGACTTGAAATATTTTAGTGTAATAGCGTCATCCCCGCCCTCCACTACCACCACCACAAAGCCTCCCAGAATTCTACTTCCCCTGGAGCATATTGCCAGGAATAATCAATGCCAGGGTCATGATAAACAAGGCCATCCACAGGTTTCTTGTAGAATTTAAGAGCTGAACGAAACTAGGCATCCACCAGTCCTAATGCCAGCTGCCATGGACATCAGGGAGAGGACCTTTAGCTTTGTAGTAACTGGATTAGCCCATTCTGACACATTGTAGGCACATAATAAACACTTGTTGACCGAGTGACAGCACCATCCACAAATAGGTTTTCTCACTGAATATTTTGGTACAGATGTTCTCCTGAGAACCAGCTACAAGTCAAAATGGTAACATAGGGCTGGAAGGGAGTTGGGGGGTGGGAGTGGGCATGCAACACAAATTTTGGCCAACATTCCCCTTAATCCTCATCCCGAGGAATGGAGAAGGAAGAAAACTTAAAGGTAGTGGAAACAATCGTCAGGCTAAGATTCAGCTCAAATCCCACCTCTGCTTTTGTGACCTTATAAATCATTCCAATCTGTGGTCTAAAAACCCCTGGGAATCTCCTAGACAGGGCATGGGTAACCTGTGGCCTCAAGGCCACATGTGGTCCTCAAGTGTGGTCCTTCATGTGAAGTTTGGATTCAGTCAAAGGGCCACACTTGAGGATCTAGAGGGCCACATGTGGCCTCGAGGCCACAGGTTCCCCGCCCCTTGTTCCTAGACCAAAAGTGTCAGACATGCCATCTGCATGCAGCAACATTCCCGAGTGAGGCCAGAACCAGATTAAAATGTAATTGGGAAATATTTAACACAATAAATAAAAATACAATAGAACACAATGTTAATATATGGTGGAGGTTTTTTCCTAAGTCAATATGCAGCCCACAGGGCTCCTTATGTACTTTTTAGTGGCCCTCTTTCTGTTTGATTTTGTCCTAGACCCTTTCAGGGGGTCCATGAGGCCAAAACTATTTTTATAATAATACGAAGATAGTTTAATTTCTAATATGGTAAATATAGATACAAACCACAGAAACAAAAGCTCCATAGGCTGTCCTCAATAATTTTTGAATGTCAAAAGGTCCTGATACACCAAAAAGTTTGAGAACTACTGATCTAACCTACTCTTCTCCTTTCGTTGAGAAGATTTTGTTAAGGTGGAACAAAGATAGGTAAGAAGCATAAAAAACAGGACTAGAACCCTGGTCTCCTAACAGCCATGAAATAAAAGAAAAGAAGTTTCTTACTATGAGCCTGTTAATGTAAAAGTTGTTCAAGAAACTATCCCATAAGGAAGCCTATTTGTTAATGCAAAATACAGTGTAGATGTATTTCACCCTAAGGCAGGCCTAGAACACTAAATTAAAGCACACTCATTCAATACAAAAATAATCTTACTTTCTAAAAACAAACTCCCTTATTTTCCATAAGAATGTCAGTCTACACCAAATACTGGCACTGAAAATCCTTTTAAGAAAAAAGAATGAATTACTTTCCCTCCCCATTCCCCCACCCCCACCCTCCCAGTACTTGAGCCACAGCAAAGTAATTCTGTGCCTTCTAATAATTTCCTTGCTGATCATACTTCATACTTAGGCTCTGGGTTTCTATTTGGGCTCCCAGAAACACTTTCCATCACTCTGACATAGGCTATTAGATAACAAATATTTCACTACTGTGCAAATGAGTGGGTTAATTATTCCTCCCTTCAAAAGAATTTTAAAAATATATATATTTCCTGAAATCAAAAACCCAAATGAATTTAGAACAAGATTTTTTAAAAGCCCCGCCAAGAAAATTAATTGCATTTAGCATTCTTTCTCTTGTACTTGATAGTGAAACAATAGAATAGAATATATGCCTTGTCAGTTCCTTTAGCTAAAATGCAATTGTCTTGTCAGCTAATTATTTTTAGCTAAAATAATAATCCATTTAAGAACATTTACTCAGTATTATTATATATTCTGGATTTTTTAAAGGGAGGCTAGCAAATGGTAATAGTGAAGATTTGATTTTGTACTATGAATATAAAAATGAAACCTTAGAAACAACATAAGGAACAGTAGAAACATCAGAAATGACAGGTTCATTTGTTTAGAACTAAAACAGACCTCAGAGACCATCTAGGCCAAATCCCTCATTCTAAGAAAACTGAGGCCCCAAGAGATTAAATTATTTGCCAAGATCACTAATGAATCTGAGAAACCTCCCTTAGTTTTTCATAAAAAACTGTTTTATTCTATACATTTTTATTTAATTCAAATTCAAATCAAGCATTTATCAAGCACCTACTACATGCCTGGTACTGAGCTAGATGCTGAAGAGATTAAAAAAAAAAGTCCCAGCCCTGTTGGAGCTTACATTAATGGTGGGTTGTTGTTCAGTTGTTTCTGTGACCCCATTCGGGTTTTCTTGGCAAAGATACTGGAGTGGTTGCCATTACTTCTCCAGCTCATTTGAGAGATGAGGAAACTGAGACAAACGGGGTTAAGTGACTTGCCCAGGGTCACACAGCTAGTAAGTATCTGAGGCCAGATTTGAACTCAGGAACATGAGTCCTCCTGACTCCAGGCCCAGTGACTGGAATCTAGCCACTGTACTAGTTGCCCCCAGCTTACATTCATTCTACTATAAATAAGTAACTACATGTCTCACAGAGTGCACTGAGAATGTTTGACTTACTTATTCCCTAGGTCTGTAATTTACAAGTGAGAAATTTCCAAATATGTCATGAAAATATGACGAAATACTTTGCCCAGTGTCTCAAAAGCCTCCCAACAATATACTCAATTCATGTAACTATCAATCGAAGGCATGTAAGTCTTAACTTCATGTGCAGGTGAAAACACATCTACCACAAATGTATTCTGGAGATTATAATGCTTTTATTGAATGCAAAAGAGCCAAATGCTGAACGCTAACATTTTTTTTCAATCTGGAAACCAGACAATGATAATTATTGAAATATAATACCTGAAACAATCATGCTAGAAAAGAAGATTTCTCAGTAAGTACAAATGTTATTTGACAGTAACTTCATTGAATATATGTAAAAATATTTATGTTCCATTTCTTGTAAGTATGGAGAATTTATATTCACCAAGGCCACTATAAATTGCTAAAGCAATTACTCAAAGAAAGAGAACTTTTTAATTTTAGGATTAAAGCTCCTTTAGAGACTACAGATGTATCAACTGTCACCTTGCACAAAATACAAAACTCATTATTTCATCATTCACTCTAAAATAAAGTACCTCACTCAAAGACTTTTTGAACACACTTTCTACTTTAAGTCTGGGCCATTTACGAGCTTTTGTCTCCTGGTTTCTTCCTGTTAGTCTTTTCTATCATCGTTTCTACGATCACCGCTGTTTCTTCATAAGTCTGAATTCGGTCAGTTGAGAATTTCTCAATGGATTCTACCACCTCTACCTTCTCATAGGTCATGGATCCATAGGGGCCTTTCTCTAGCAGCCCTTTACCTGCTGCCTCAGAAGATTTATCTTTCTTGATCTTCTGTGAATGGCCTGCACTTTGTCCATTTGGACCGTGTATGACTGCTGGACAAGGCTTCACAGCCCCCTTGTCTTTTGGAATGTCATCAGTTTTTTCTCCCACCTCCCCCTGATCTCTGCTTCTGCTTTCATTCTCTCCATCTCCAGAATGTTCTTGATTTTTGCATTCATCATCATGTTCCTCTGGCTCATCTTCTCCATTCGGGCATGGAGGCTCAGGCAGCTCTGGTATTGGCTCCACATCATCTCTGTCACATATCTGGTCAATAGAAACAACAATCCCACCTTTTGCTGGGATGGATGAAGAACAAAAGTCCGGGTCAACATAGCTGGCATCCCCTGTAACAAGGACGTGACGCCCTTTGGTATAAAGATCAGATTGAGGTTCAGCTCCTTTGTCACTTCTTACTCTCTCTTTAATAATATTACACATTTTACCAAAGGCTTTGCTTATCTGTGCACCATCTGGCACATCCTCTGGTTCTACTTCTTGTTTTAGGGTCCCTGGTTCTTCATGCCTCACTTCCAGCTTTGATTGGCATTCATCTTGAACCTGCACATGGTCTTTGCCTTCCACAGGTTTTTTGGCTGTCTGGTCCTCTAAAGTATCATCTGATTTGTCTTTAGCTGTAAGCTCCTTTTTTCTTGAAGCTTTCTTTGGTAGACCTTTTTGTCTTGGTTTTACTGTTGTTATATCCTGAATAGCTCGGGTGATATCTTAAAAAAAAAAAGTCACTCTTTTCAATGTCACCATATAAAACAAAATATAAATATTTTCCATTTACAAATAATCCAAAACAAATTTTTTGGATTAAAAACTAAGGAAGTAAATAGCTTACTATGTTTTCCTAGGATCTAGCATTAAGGGGCACTTTAGAGCTATCTACTTGAGTTTTTCACCTGGGATCCATGAACTTTTTCAAATATTTTGATAACTAGATTTCAGTTTAATTGGTTTTCTTTATAATCCTATGTATTTGATTTTATGCATTTAAAAACATTCTGAGAAGGAGTCCATTGGCTTCACCAGACAGTCATTAGGGTCCATGATACAAAAAAGATTCAGAATCCCTAATCTAGTTCAAACCCTTTATTTTACAGATGAAGAAATTGAGATCCAGAGAAGCAAAATTATTTACTCCCCAGTCTCACTATTAGTAATTAACAGAATTAGAGTATGAACCCAGGTCCTCTGACTTCATATCCTATATTCTTTCCATAGGACCACAATGCCATGAAATTACAATGTTGGAAGGGATAATAAGGGGGCATGCCTTTAGCATATACTTGAAAGTATAGTATATTTTTCTTATTAGAAAATTCATCAATTTTGTTATCAAAAGTTCAAGCATTGTTGATTTGTACATATCACATTGCATTAATGTATGAATTTATTTTAGATGTCAGTAAAATAAGTACCCCCATTCAAAAAGGTTATATCTCTACATTTTCCATAGAATTGATTGTTTTAAAATTAGGATTATACTTTAGGTAAATAGATAACTTCCCTAGAAGCAAAGTGTTTATTTACTTTTCGGAGGTACACGAGCTCAGGCACAAGGCACATCCAGGAAATTATATGGATTGTCTTCAATCTCAAAAATGGCGTTATTGGCAATGTTGCTATCCATCTGTGCAAGTGGAATTGAAAAGTCCAAGATATCAGTAATATTTCCCTAAATTACATATTGGGACCTTATACTGCTTTGCAAGTATAACTTCTTTTCTATTACAGAGCTGAAGTTTCATCACCCGGTAGGTACACTTGGTAACATTCACCCACCTAGAAGACAGATCTGTAAGATAGAGACAATTATGGTTTATATGTGACCAAACCTAATTTCCAGAAAGACCGCATCTTCTTCCTTATGGTTCTGCTCAAAGTTAGTCTCTTTGTCATTAGCTTGCTACATGTAGTCTAATTAAAAACATTTTTGCCAACATTCCTTTTTTTTTTAGGAAGCTGTGGGGAAAAAGTGTGTATGGTTGGGGGTGGGGTGTGGTGAACAAAGATTATATTAGAGAAGAAGGAAGTTATGATAACCAATGAGGTTGCTACCATCTAACTCCAAACAATCTTATGATTTCTAGAAACACAATATCCACAAACCCTTCAGACTTACCACAGCCTTCATTGAAAAACACTGAAAGAGAAGCCCTACCGTTAGATATTATCAGCATTACCATTTTCTCTTTCCTTTTAAAATGCTCTATTCATTCAAACCCTAGGTGGTTTAATTTCTGATTGCACATCCATACTCTGCACAGAACTGTTTTGGTTTATGTCTGTAGTGTTATAAGTAAAATGTCCAATTATTTAGTATTACAGACATCTTCATTACTGCCATTCTAAGCAGATTCGTCATTGAGAAGCATCACCAAGAAGCAAAATAATGTCTTTTCACCCTGATGGTAAGCTCCATTAAATCACACCAATAAAACAAAATTGTCTTTTGTGAGATAGGCCAGGTTTGCAAGCAAAACCTATTTCTACTTCATTTTGAGGTAAGTTAATACATTGCAACCACATATTTCCCTTAGCATCTTGAATTAAATGGTTCTTGGTGTAATCTACCTCTCATTCAGAATGACATCTGGGCCCCTCTCAGTACGAATTACAGTCATTTATTTAGCACCCACTGCGTAGTGGGTGTGAGGGAGAAAAGCAACACACTCATATCTGAAGCACTTCCTTAATAATAACATTTTTTAGAAGGAATGAAAGGACATGCAGATAAAAGTCTGAAACAAGCTTTCTCTTCACTTCCCTGAAGATAAAAGGTTTTGTTTTTGATGGAGAGGAAGGTAGCAGAGTATTACCTTTTCTGCTGGAAGGCAGGTTGTAAGAAGCTTGGTAGCTCTGAGTAAAAAGTGTGATCGGTGTTCCCACTATAGCAGAATTCAGCCTAACAAAGACAAAGAGAAAGAATTTTACTTCCATAGCTATTTCTTTGATTAGTAATAAGACTTTTAAAAAAAAAACCTAGGGAGCAAGATTGACTCTTTAAGCAAAATAAAGATATGGTCTTTATATCAAATTGATCATGTCACTGGTAATTTCAAACAGATATCTGATTTAATAATAATATAAAACACATGTGATTATACCAAGATGGTAGTCCATCTATAACTTAGTAAGTAAAATTTAGAAAGCTGCCTGAGACTCAGTGAGATTAAGGGACATGCCTAGAATCTCAACGTGAAAAGTAACACTTAAGCATAGGCCTTCCCAATCTTAAAGTTACCACTCCACCTGCCACACAAGGCTGCCTCTCATAATACATGGAAGGCAGGATTGATATAGAGAGCCTCTGATCAATCTGAGTTCTCCCTCTGTCCCTATTCCACATGATAGAGTCCAGGGCTGAAAGGGGCACCTCCCAAGGTGTTGGCCAGGCACCATACTCACTATGCTAGGAGCACACAGTGAATTCTCCACTCAAAATGTAATGACCAGGGCTGAAAACATTAATTGCTAAATATCACTAATTCCTGTCCCATGTTCATAAAAGTCAATCACTCTGCCAGCATTTATCAAGTACCTACTATGTACTGGGCACTGGGCGAAGCACTGGGAATACAAAATAAGGAGAAAAAAAACCTAATCCCTGATTTCAAGGATCTCACAATCTAATAGAGGAGAAAACACGCAAACAACTATGTATAAACAAGATAAACAAATTGGAGGTAGTCTCAGGAGGCAGTAAGACTAAGGAAGACCGGGAAAGGCTTCTTACAGAAGATGAACTTTCGTTGAATCTTTTTTTTTCTTTTACCAAGTGAAATTTTAATATTAATCTTTAACATGGCAAGGAAGCAAACTACAGAACAGCAAACATTCACTCTAAATAACTAGCTATGCTTCCTCTATGTCTTAACTTCAGTGTTTAGAAGCATGTTCCTCATTCTTTGGTGCAGTTAGGAAATATTCCATTCTGACAGCTACTAAAAATGCTCCAAAATGCCATGTGAATCTTCCTGTCAAAGCAGCCCACAAAGTAGCAGGTTTTCCATAACGACTCCATGCATCACCAAGCTTCATTGCATTCCCATGGATCCCTTAGAGCTTGCTTGGCCAACCTCTCCTGGACTCACTGTAGTGGAGTTCCTTCTATCTTCCACTGTTTGTAATCAGGGAGTTCAATTTTTCCATGACCATGTCCATGTCCATGCCTGACAAGAATCTTGACCTCCCAGGGACAATGGAATCTCAATACCAGCCCCTGTTCCCTCCCCTACCCCAGCCAGAGCTAAGAGCACTTTCGTTGAATCTTGAAGGAAACCAAAGAAGCCATGAGGTAGAGATGAGGAGGGAGTGAGTTCCAGGCATTAGGGGCAGCCAGTGGAAATGCATGGAGTTGGAAGATAGAGTGTCTTGTTCCAGGAACAACTAAGAGGACAGCATCATTGGATTGTAGGTAGAGGAGAGTAAGATTAAGAAGACTGAAAAGGTAGTAAGTAGCCAGGTTATAAAGAGCTTTAAAAGCCGAACAGAGGGTTTTACATTTGATCTAGGAGGTAATAAAGAGCCACTGGAGTTGATTGAATATGGGGGTAACACTCAGACCTATGCAACCAGCTTTCTAGGTCATCAGTTTTACAGCTGAATGGAGGATAGACTGGAGTGTGAGGACACTCGAGGCAGGGAGACCAAACAGCAGGCTATAGCAATAATCCAGACACAAGGAGATGAGGACCTGGACCAGGACAGTTGCAGTGCCAAAAGAGAGAACAGGGCTTATGAGAAAGATGCTATGATGGTAGAAGCAGTAGTGACTGAATATTGGGGGTGACAGAGAGTGAAGAGTTGAGGAAACTCTTAGAAACAGGAAGAAGAAAGGCAGGAAAAAGCAGTCATGGGGTCGAGCCCAGCGTCAGGCTTGCCTAGGCAAGTACATGGTCCTCCACTTCCATGTGCTTCTGCTATAAACCACACCTGTCATGAGTACAAATCTCTTGTCCCCCTGCTGGTTATCCAAGGGAGAAAATGCATTGGAAAAGAGTCCCCAAACATAGAAGGGTAGATTTTTTTTTTTAGGGTATGGAAAAGACAAGCGTCTGCCTTATGCCACCCCTACTCTCAGTCACCCATCAGCAAAAGGTAGTTCCAGTCACTGGAAAAGATCCATCCCCTATAATTCTGTCAAGTGGCATGGCAAGAGAGGTAGATAAAATTATCAGAAGCTCTCCTGATCAACTTCCCATTACATACACACATTCTTCTTATACCAAATAGCCATTGTTTGGGTCTCTCCCCTATGCATTATGCTTTCTGAATATTAAGGAGTTATAAAATAAGCATCTTTTTTAGGCAAAGGGAAACCAGAAATCTTTCTTTGCAGTACTTTCCCAAAGCCTTGGTGACATCTTAACGTTCTTTCAAGTCCTATTGCTTTCAGCCTTAAGTACACAGCTTCCTCTACAACATAAGGCCACTAGTCACAATTACCAGAAAAATGTTATAGCAACCAAAGGGAAAAAAGATTTAAGGATGCTTTGGGCTCTTTAATAATCAGTAACTCCAGGCTACAGCCAAAACTAATCAAGCTAAAGAAAAAACCTGCTTCTTGTTGGATTTTCTGGTAGTATTATTTTCCTTCCTTCACTGCATCACGACAACAAGAAAAATTATCTATTTCAAGTCAAAGAATAATGCGTACTATAGAATATGTCACAGCTAAAGTCCCTATCTTAGGCCTTACCATGTTGCATGGAGGAATCAGGATTCTCAAAGTCTTTGCCAGGGGATCAAAAAAGAAGGTGGGGAGGTTTTATGCAGAAGCCCAGCCACAAACCAGCTCTCTTATAATTTGAGAATTGGGCTAGCTAAATTTGTAGAGGCTTACCGCCAGAAGGTTGCCCAATGGCTAATGGTTTTTGGAGGAAGAGCAGAGCAAATTAAGGAGATGGTCTATGAAGGTATGGATGCTGAGGGTAATCACACTAATAAAATTATACTTCTTTTGCAGTACAGAAGTACGCTGCATCAGGCAGCTAAGTGGCAAAATAGATAGACAGCCCTGGACCTAGAGTCTGGAAAACCAGACACTTATTAGCTGGGTGACCCCTGGGCAAGTCACTTAACCTCTATCTACCTCAGTTTCCTCATCTGTAGAATGGGGATAATAATAGCCCCTAGTTCCCAGGGTTGTTGTTGTGAGGATCAAATGAGACATTTGTAAAGTGTTTTGTAAACCTTAAAGTACTGTATAAATGCTAGCTATTAGTGTTGTTGTTGTTGTTGTTGTTGTTGTTGTTGTTGTCATCTTGATGAAGAGCTACACAAAGACTTTTCATCTCTGGAAACACGAGGGATAACTGGAAGTAGGTGCTGGGAGTACCAGTCACTCCATGATCAAAATTGAGACTAGGGTTTATAAAAGGAGCTATTGGTTGGATTTTCCTCCATACCCTGCTAGCTTTCTCCATCCCAGGAATCTGGGACACAGTTCCTGCTTTGTTGAAGGGAAAGGTTTTATGGGAACCTAGATCCTGATTCTCCCTTGACCAGGGAAGATCTGATGAAGAAAACTGGAAAAATAAAACAACCCAACAGAGGTTGTCATGAAATAGCTGTCAAAGTTTAGGGAGCAAAAGTTCTCATTATTACTGCTAAGAGTGTAAATCAATCCAGAATATAGGCAGACCTGAATTTCTCTGCAAAACCCTTCAGGCTTTGACATATCAGCTGTACCTAATGAGCAATGAAACTTCCCTGAGAAGAGGTTTCTAATATCATAATTATTGATTAACAGCTTGGGACCTCTCAGCCTTTAGGGCATTTAATAACAGATTGAGATCCATTCAGAACAACAGTTTTGGACAAAGGTCCCCCAGAAGGCTATGTGACTAGACTGAAGAGGTGTTTTACTGTTGTTAACAGAATTGGACCTTCTTTATTCAAAGCTGATGTCTCCCGTTAAAAGTAATAGCCTCTCCCCCACCTTAATGACCCTCAAATCTGACATAAAGCTTGACATGCAAAAGGTGAAATGTTCCTTCCACTTTCAGAGACAAATGAGGATCAGGACACAGATATTACAGCAAGAGGAAAGGTGATAAAATATTGTCCAGCTAGACCAGCAGTAATAGGATATAGGAAAAATATTTACAAGATTTCTTACTTTATTTTATTTTCTTGGGACCAGGGCAGAGGATATATTGCTAGGAGGCAGAGCAACTGTCTAGCTATAAGACACACACACACACACACACACACACACACACACACACACACACAGAGTCTCCTGTATCTCTCAACAATGTCTGTCTCTGTGTGTGTGTCTCTGTCTCTGTGTCTCTCTGTCTCTCCCTTTCTCTCCCTCCCCCCCTTTCTCTCCCCCTTCTCTCCCTCTCTGCCACACACACACACACAAACACAGCCTCATTACAAATAAGTGAAAGACAACTCCAAGAGAGGTACTAATTATTTCTTGTGTACAGTAATTCTATCTAAGAAAGCTTGTGTGCAAGTCTCTTTAAAGTTGCTATGTAGGTACAGCTAGGTGGTGCAATGGTTAGAGTGCTGGCCCTGGAGTCAGTACAACCTGATTTCAAATCCACCCTCAAATACTTACTAGCTGTGTGACCCTGGACAAGTCACTTAACTGTGATTATCTCTCCCCAAAAAAAAAACTTTTGTAAAATTATATTCTTCATTTGTAGAAATCATTTTTGATGGATTTATATTTTTGTGCTGCACCAGAAATTCCCCTGAAAGTTCCTCTTCTTAAGTTTTCATTAGACAATTGTGTCTCAGGTTATATATGTTTTTCTAAATAAGATTCAGTCTACTAAGTGCATTCAATTGGTCACTTGCTTCAAGATCCCAAGAATTACTAGCAAGAGAGAGAATCTCTTCCTTGGGCAGTCCTCTAAATCCTCTTGACTGCTGGCCATGAGAGAGCCCAATTCCAGGTTGTGCTAGGAACAACTTAGTTTAGGGATTGTAATAGAATGGTTGTAATAATATATGTAAAGTCTAAACCTTAAAGCCCAATAGAAATGTGAGCTCTGTGTGTGTGTGTTTGTGTGTGTGTGTGTGTGTGTGTGTGTGTGTGTGTACACAACATAGGTTCATAGAACTGGACCTAAAAGAGACCTTCAAAGTTATCAAGTCCCACCTCCCCATTTCACAAATCAGAAAACTGAGGCTCAGATTAAGTACCTCAGTGCCATAGGCATAGCTGTCAAGGTGAGGGAAAATCCTGCCTCTTGTTGGTTTGAGCAGGATAATTAACTTGCCCCAAGTGGTAGAAGTAGTAAGTGGCAAAACCAAGACTTGAACCCATATCCTCTGACTGCAGATATGGCATTCTTTCCCTTGCACTAAATCAATTCTCTGTTAGAAGGACCTTGGTAGCATGGAAAAACCTAGATTTCTCAGAATCACCTTCCCTGAGAGAGGGCATTCAGGGGCCTTCCCAGACTAGAAAAATAGTTCATTATTCTCTGGAGAGAAAGATAAGCCTATTCTTGTGATTTGCCTGTATCCAATCCTAACCCTGTCCTGTTCTAATGATGTCATATGGAATATCATTAATCTCTGATATTCTACCTAGTGCCATGGTGTCATGAGAATTTTCTTGACCTGCTAGGAAGGGGTAATACAACCCTGAAGCCTTAGCTTCCTTTGACCTAGAGTTCTTGCTAATGATGCTTTTTGGCCTACAGCTAACTAGTGAGGTTCTGCCCTTCTTATCACCTCCCAGAAGAACTGAGCCCATCTTCCAAGTACATTAAGTTTAAGTCTAGTGGAACAAAAGTTCTTAAAAAGAAGTGCATACTTCAAGTTCAACTAAATGTACATTTTTACATATGTTATTTCATTTGCTTCCTCTTCCCCCCATCAAAAAAATCACATCTGGAATCATTCTTTACTTCAAAAAAACTGTAATTTCTTTAGTCTAGATATTCTTTCTGCCAACATAGTTTACAACCTCTCTGTGCTGTAGGGGACAATTTTATGAGCTGCTATGATTGAAAAAATTCATGACATTATAGTTAGTTGTGTAGTGATGAGCCTCTCTAAACTTAATTAGGAGCATCCTTGTACAGTAGTTCATCTTTGGGCCCATATTCCCAACCTTTCTACTTGATAAGTTCTGATAAAGTTTGTATTCAATGGACATAGCCCCCCAAAATTGCTACCACAATGAGTAATCAGAGTGGGACATTGAATGAAGGATCTGGAACCAAGAATACTTTTCAATAATCAATACTGACAGACTATTTAACTGCAGATTGTGCTTAGTGATAAATGAGTTGAAATTTAAGGTCATATTTAGACAAGAACATGGCAAAAGGCAAGTGAATTCAGAAGTCCCTCAAATCAATACAACCATTTTGGAAAGCAGTTTGAAATTTTGCAAGTAAAGTGATTGATATGTCCATACCTTTGACCCAGAGACTCTGCTACTAGACTTATACCCCAAAAAGGCCAGTGACAAGAAGAAAATCCCCATATACATCAAAATATTGATTTCAACATTTTTGAGATAGCAAAGAATTGTAAATCAAGTGGTTGTCTATCAGTTGAGTGGGGAAGGAATGTCTAAAATTATGACAAATTCATGTAATGGAATATCATTGCGCTATAAGAAATGACCTGGTAAAGACAGAGAAACATGGAAAGACTTACATGAGCTAATGCAGAGTGAAGTTAGCAGATGCAAGGAAACAATATAAACAGTGGCTGCAACAATGTAAATGGAAAAAACCACCACAAAACAATCAAAAGTGAATGTTGCAAAATTAGAAGAACAAGCTTGACTCCAAAGAAGAAATATGAAGAGACACCCCAGCCCACACTTTTATAGAGGTGGGGAGTCCACGGGTGTAATACATAGCACATATTTTCAAACTTTTTCAACTTATTGATCAGTTTTTCCTGGTTTCTTTTCTCTTTCTTTTTTTTATTTAGAAACATTATTTCTTATAAGGGATGGTTCTCTCTGAGAGGGAGAGGGATACTGGGAAAAATTTTGATGATTAAAAAAACTACTTAAAATGTTATTTAAAAAAGAAAAAGAATAAAAATAAATTCCCCAGATAGTACATAAAGGACTCTGAGCCTACAGAAAGACCCTCTGACTCCTGATAGAGAGTCCTCCAGTCTATCCTCATGGGCCAGAAACATATCTCAAAGCACGAAGTTAAAAGTATAACCTCTTTCTCACTCTTCAGAGATTTGACTGCCTAATTCCCCTTGTAAGAGCCAAAGCCCTCCCAAAACAATAAATGCCCAGGATCATGAAAAATGAAAAGCTCCCTCTCCACAGCCTGGGACTACCATACCTGTTGTCTTCATTCTCAATGATGTGCTTGTACCGCTCTAATTCATTTTCCAGTGATTGCTGGTATATTGCCAACTGGCGGCAGTCATTGGTGTACTTTTCGAGCATTCTTTCTGCATCATCAATATCTTTCCTCAGAGTTTCAATCTGCTCGTTGTAAAGTTGAATCTCATCATCGTAACTCTCTTGGGTGTTTTTAATAGTTTGTTCCAGTGACACGGTCTATTGAACAAACACACAAACACAGAGAGAGAGAGAAAAACAACATTCTTCCATGTTCATTAAGACATTTTTTTCCATGAGCAAGCCCAGGCTTAGGAAAAATATATGACATATACATATATGTATTCACATTTGTATGTATGTGCATGTCTGTGTGTATATACATGAATGTAAATCTAATTCAAGACATCTACCCCAGCTTTCTTTTTGACATCCATCCTGCTGATAACAGGCTTCTAAGACTGATCTAAATGTAATTTAATACATTTAGCCTTGAACACTTGCCCTGGGTTCCATACTATCCTGATTGGTGAGTACTTGAGCCCAAACTCACTTATCTTCTTGCCATTTTGTTCTGCCACCCTACATATACCCTCCCCCTCAATCCCCTGCCCTCCCTCCCCCCATAACACACACCACTTTCTACCTTTTGCACTAGAAATCCTAATCAAATCAATATTGCTATTATCAACTAGCTCATCAATTGACTTCCCTATGGCACCATTCACCCTCCTTGTGACATATCAGATCAAAATGCCTGCAATACTCCCTTTTATGTGTTATTTCTCCATATAAGAATCCAAACTTATTGAAAGCAAGATTGTCCCCTTTTTGAATGTATATTCCCAGTGTTTAACACAGTACTTGGAATGTAATGAGTACTTAAATGCTTTTTCATTCATTCTTTCAAACATTTGAGATTTTTGTCAGTATGGGTAATCCCTCCTGATATAGATCACAACCCTTCTGCAACTTCATACATGACCAACCTGGTGATAAGGCTGTTTGAACTAGCTCGACTAGTCTTTAGTTAGCAAATAAATGAAAACTTCTTTCCAGTTTAGTAAAACCTTCCAGATCTTGGTCTTTGCTGACGTAGTATTTGAGAACTCAGGATCAATGGCTCTGCGTATGTGTATGTGCATATATTATATAATTATATGTTACATATTATATTGCATAATACTTGTATTATTATATGTTATATATGATATGTAGATATATATATATTATTATATATATGTTTCTACTAAACTAGAAAGTAATCAAATATAGGCCCAATTATGGTTTTTTGTTTGATATATGTGTATATATGTACACATATATGCGTGTATGTTTATAGCCATATATAATCAAATGTATTGGAGTATATATACACACAAATACATATTCACAAACACATACACACACACACAACACACATACACATGAAAAATGGTGGTTGAGGGGCAACTAGGTGGCAGAATGGATAGAGCACCAGCCCTGAAGTCAGGAAGACCTAAGTTCAAATCTGGCCTCAGACCAAACACTTAACACTTACTAGCTGTGTGACCCTGGGCAAGTCACTTAACCCCACTTGCCTAAAAATAAAAAACAAAAAAATGGTGGTTGACAACAAATGCCACCATTTTGGATCCCATAGACAAGGAAAACAATTAAAGTATCTGTGAAAGTATTATCAAAGCTATATATATGCATATAAATTATCTGATAAATTAAGTACAGATAAGCCAGATTTTAAAAAAACCACTTCTTAAAATGTCTACATAATGAATATTAAAACATTCTTCAGGACCAGATTAATCAACTGTAAGTCTGATTGCTAAAGAAAGTCAGGAGAATTAATAGCACATACACTGTGCGCTAAGTATACACTGTGATTTTTCTATTGAAATAATTAAGGGGGAAATTATCTTCTCGTTTTTATTTTGCCTTTATCCAAAGTAGCAGTGGGAGTTTTCCATTTTCTCTAAAGTTAGTTTGGATTTCTGTTGTTGTTGCTGTTGTCCAACTCTTCATAACCCTGTGGAGCATAGCACGCCAATGCCAGCCATGAGGTTTTGCTGGCAAAGATACCAAAGTGGTTTGTCATTTTCTTCTCCAGTGGAAAGTTAACAAATGTTCAGTGACTTAACTAGGGTCATACAACTAGTAAGTATCTGAGGCCAGATTTTAACTCAGGTCTTTCTGACTCCAGGCCCAACATTCCAGGCCCATCACTGAGCCACTTCTATTTTGTACATACCAGATAGATAGATAGATAGATAGATAGATAGATAGATAGATAGATAGATAGATAGATAGATGATAGATAGATAGATAGATAGATAGATAGATGATAGATAGATAGATAGATAGATAGATAGATAGATAGACAGACAGAGACATATATACATATATGTAGATATACATATATGCATAGATTCATATATATATGTAGATATGCATATCTACATATATATATGGATGTACAAATATAACTATATATACCTATATAGGTATTTATAAATATAACTATATAAAAATACCTATTTATAGGCCCATGCTATCTTCCCCATTTGAATATAAGCTCCTTGAAGGCCTGCACTATTTTTGTCTTTCTTTGTAATCCCAAGAATTTATCACAATGCTTGTCATTGAGTGAGCTTAACAAATGTTTACTGATTGATTGATTGATTGGTTTTTACACTGCTGAAGAATTATAAGTTATGTCAGAGCCTTTTAAATGTTGTGCCCTGGCAAAAAAAACAAAAAACAAACAAAAACCCTAGTCATCCCATCCTAGTTACTGCTCTCAAGCCAGTTCTGACTGTGGGCAAATCACTTTTTCTCTCTGAATTTCAATTCCCCTGCCTCTAAAATGGGTGCAGGAAAAGGGAGTGGGGAGAAAATAATACTTGCACTAGCTAACTCATAAGGTGGCTCTGAGAAAAGCACTAGAGAAAAGAGAACTATTAATAGAAATATTCTCTCATATAATCACCAGGCCAAATAACAATTACAGACAAGAAAAATTAAGGGGAAATAAATGTTCTATTTAATTGACTTTACTACCAACATAGTAGCTACAACCTGCAAATTTCCTCATATGAAGAACTCATTAAAATGTTTATTGCCTGGTACATTTTTTGGTATGACTGATATTTTAATATTTTTAGCCTTTCCTCTCTGTCTCATTTCCTCATATGGCAGACAGGCAGAACTCCCATAGCTTCTGTGAGATATGATTCTGGTCAATATTCAGAGCACTTCCCCTATCTAGAAAAGATGCATACCAGCTCAGATGTGCCCTGGGAGAAAAGAACCTAACAAAGAAAAGTTCAAAATTTCCAAGTGAAATGAGTGGATCTGTATGCGCAAATTACCTCATTGCAATTATAAATGAATTCAGCATAATTCCTTTAAATAAACTTACAAAAAGTGGATATCTACACCATTTTTCAGGCATGCTATTGTTCAGTCATTTTTCAGTTGTGTCCAACTCTTCATGACCCCATTTGGGGTTTTCTTGGCAAAGATACTGAAGTGGTTCACCATTTCCTTCTCCAGCTCATTTTACAGATCAAGAAATTGAGGCAGACAAGGTTAAGTGAGTTGCCCAAGGTCACACAGCTAGTAAGTGCCTGAAGCCAGATGTGAATTCAGGAAGATGAATCTTCCTGACTTCAGACCCAGTACTCCACCCACTGCATCACCTAGCTGCCCTTTTCAGGCACACATCTAAGCACACATACACTCAAAGTTCACACAATAGATCAATAGATACTAACTTTTTGTGTCAGAGTGCATATGGAACTTACTATCTTTTTTTTGAGGTGGGGAGGGAGGAAAAGAGTGCCAAAGGAAGGGGTCTAGACTTATGATTTTATTAGGGTAGAGAAGTAAAAGTAAGGAAATGCCTGTATTAATGTAGGTCTTCAACTGTCCTGAAATTCAGTCAGAAAATTGCCTGGGGTCATGAGAGTAAACTCAGCCAGAATGTGTCAGAGTCAGGACTTGAACCCAGGTCATTCAGACTCCAAGTCTAGTTCTCTGTCTACTAAGCCATGCTGCCTCATATTGTAATGCCCTGAAAAAATGTTACAAGCCGCAAAGGAAAATCTTCCACAGAACAGAAGGATTTGAAAGACAGCCTGGGGACTTGCTCAAGGAGCGTAAGGCTCAAAAAGCAAGAACTATGCCTCAGCATAAGAGAAACATGAAGTCAAGCTTTTCATCTCATCTACAAATTAAGGGGGTTGGACAGATGATCCCTAAGGTCCCTTCTGCCTTTCAATCTGCAATCCTATGATCTCGATTTAGAGCTCAGAGAAACAGACAACTCAGAAGGTTGAGAGGAAAGGTCTGACTCCAGCAGGGTCCAGCAAGCTAATAGCAGGCTGTGCCTGCTCTGCCATTCTCCCACAAACCAGCACAGGCCTTGGGGTCAGCTGATTCAGTAGTGGCCACTTCTGGAGCTCTCAGCCCACAGACAGGAAGGGCGCTGGACAACTGGTCAGAAGGAGATTACAAGGGACCCTTTGCTAGCGCTGGGTGCAAAATTCTGTTGCATTGCCCTGGGATCCAGGTCTCCGGCCTGGGTTGCAGTGCCAGGGAGAGGAGGAGCATTAACATACTTGAGCATGTGGGCTACAGGGGAGCAGGGACCCTGGTTACAGTTCCAGGGCAGAAAAGAAGCCTAACAGTTACTCCCAGACAAAAGGACAGACCACGAGAACAGTAATCAGAACTCTCCTTAGACTGTATCACCCTGGAAGAACTGAAAACCTACAGGGCCTCAGAATTAGCTCTAAAAACAGACACACAAAAACCTGAAGCTTGGGAGAGTGCCCTCTCCACCCCAAAAGCAGAGCCCAACTTTAACATGAAACCTAAAGTCAAGAAATAGGCTGGGAAAATGAGTAAACAATAGAAAAGAACCTGACCATGAAAAGTTGCTATCAAAACAGGAAAGATCAAAACACAAACTCAGAAGACGATGACAATGTCAAAATAGCTACATGGGAAGCCTCAAAGAAAAATGTGAATTGGTGTCAGGGCCAAAAAAGGGTTCCAGGAAGAGCTCAAAAAGGATTTTAAACATCAAAAGAGGTAGAAGAAAAACTGGGGAAAGAAATGAGAGTGATACAAGAGAAAGATGAAGAAAGAGTCAACAGTTTGGTAAAGGAAGCACAAAAAAATAGAAAATGGATAAAAATTCGCCAAAGAAAACAACTCCT